TTCAACTCATAGAGATGAGAATCCACAGTGATGATTGTTGCTAAACAATTAAAGCAAATGCAACACACCATACCAGTGCAACATAGTTCATTGTGGCAGATCTGGTATTTCCCATGCCATGGGCTATTAGCTTAGAATGGGTCCATCACTGTTGAAATCAAATTTGAGTGGTAAACACTTTATTAAAACAATGTGAAATAATCTGAATTTTTCAATTTATTGAAAAATAATATTTGGAGTCCAGTCCTGTTGAGTAATATGCTTATATACATTTTTAATTTTTACCATTAAAATTAAAATGCTATGTTGATCATACTTATGGTAATTTATGAAAAGGATTTTAAGTGCTACTATATTAGATCCAGCAAAGGCAACCATCTGGCAAATCAAGGCTTGTCTTCAGTAACTCACATTGTGTCATTAAACTTAGATTTCTCTTAGTTATCCCATAAATGTGTCCAGCTTTTTCTTGATATATGTTCCACATTTTTATTGCTGACTTCAGCACTCCATTCCTTCATTCATTCAACCACCCATTGTGTTAATCAGATTAACGTTTTAGCCACAGAGCATTAAGAAAAACCCTCTTTTTTTCTTTTGAAGCTAGAGAGGAAGATATGTTTATGAAGTCAAAATGCAGCCCACCCTATATTTAATATGAAAATGTGAAATCAATTAAATCTGTAGATTTTTTGCAGTACAAGCAACAAGCCATGAATTATGTTCACTATTGCTTTTCTGTGCATATCTCCAATGTAATATCTCCTAGAGGTGCTGGATTACAACTCCCACAATTTCCAGGAAACATAATTTATCTTTTCATTGAAAAGAATTAGTCAGTTTAATATTATGTATTTCCTTTTAGAAGTAAGAATTACTGAATTCAGTGGCATTAACTCATAGTGAATTGCATAGTATATACAGTAGAAAGAGCTGGGCAATATTTCAATGATCAGGGAGCACCATTTTCTTAATTACTTTTTTATATGACAAGGGCCACATAGGCTATTAATAAAATTACATCAAAATAAGGGGATATGGAGCTTATTTTTGCTCTATGTGCATCTGGGTGTGCATGTGTGTTCATGTGCTTTAATCTTTTGGAACTTATGGAAAGATCAAAAAATACATTAAGTTGCTCAGACCTATTCATCAATTTGTCCATCAACAGGTTACCTTTTGGAGAATTGAACAGAATGAGATGTGGAGGGAGAAGCTGGCAAAAGAAAGATTGAAAACTGATCAGGTCAGGCCAGGGACTGCAATGAAAAAAAAATTGCATTACATTAAACAATCCCTCAACAAATACCTATGGGAGATTAACAGCTACTCAGAATTCTGCCATTCTAAACTGCAATACTGTCACATAAGAAAAAGGGAAATGAAAGAATACACTCATTACTATGCAACACGGGGGGGGGGGGAGGGAATCATATAAACATCTTGTATGGTTCCTGTTGCTAAAAAGATTTGAAAGAATTGTTCTGCATGCTTTTTCTCTCTTGTTTTAACTTTTATAGATGAATTAGGTCATCTATAGGTCAACCATTGAATTTGAAATTGGCACTACTTAGAGGACTGGGAGATTAGCAGAACATGAATTTGAAATGCCTACCATTGGAAAATAAACTTGAAATTAAACAAAATGTCAGGTTTGAGTTAAAGGAAACTTTTGCCTTGGCTCATCAAGGAGAATTTAATCATACAAAGGTTGCTTTCCCCAGAAGTATCAGTACATATGAACACATTATTACCTCTAGTGATTATTTTGTCATGAATAACGTACTTTGAAGTAATTTTAAATACAAGAAATCAATATTGTTCAGGTAGATACACTGAAGTGCCAGAAAAAACAGCTTTCTCCCAAGCTGTTCTTGTAGTAAGAGTTGGAGGAATGGAAAGTAAATCATTTTCACTCTTTTTTATTAAACAAACAGGCCCCAGAATAGCTGAGTCCTGAAGTTCTCAACTGAACTATAAGCAGGACCGTTTAAATATTCTATGATGCAGGACCAATTGTCAGTTATGAAACTCAATGAATGACTTCAAGCCAGCCATTTTCTGTCAGTCCTACCTACCACATAGAATTAATTAACTCTAATTAATTAATTTTCTATTATGATCCAAAGACAGCAATTTAAAATTGACTGCAAAAGTTAAAATGGCCAGACAATAAATAATAAACAGTACATAATGATACAGATTTGTTTTTCTTCCACTCAATTGTGTCTGATTCTCAGACTGCTTGATCAAATCCCTGCAGTTTTCTTGGCAATTTTTTTTTTTCAGAAGTGATTTGCCACTCCTTCAAGGGATGAGAGAAAGTAACTGGCCCAAGCTTACTCAGGTGGCTTTGGGACTAGAACTCACAGTTTCCCGATTTTAAGTTTGATCACTTAACCACTACACCAAAGTGATAATTAGTGTAATGATTTTATAGCACAAGTGTCAAACTCGATTGCATCACATGACGTATCGTGACATTTTTTGCCTTTGTGGACCTGGGGTGGGTGTGGCCTGTGTGTGATGCATCTGGCCCAGTTTGATACTCCTGTTCTATAGCATGAAGACAGTAAAATATTGTTTGCTGCAGTGTTGAGGGAGCTGCATTACCTGTTTCTCTGAGAACCCCTGATATCGATCTGTTACCACTTCTTACAGGCCATTATGTTACATTTTGCTATTGTATAGATCAGGAGTCCTCTACCTTGGCAACTTTAAGACTTGTGGACTTCAACTCCCAGATTTCCTCAGCCAGCTTTGCTTGCGAAGTCCACAAGTCTTAAAGTTGCCGAGGACCCCTGGTATAGATGGTAGCAGCCTGCCTGTGCAAGTGTATATGTAGCGGAGCTCGGGTGAGAATGGGGCTGGCTGAGAGGTTTTGCGGGAGCTTTGCTAATCCAGCAGGGAAATGAGGAGCTCTGGGAGCTGCTGTGGGCCTGGCAGTGGGGCATGGCTCTGAGGAGGGAAGAAAAGGGAAGAGGAAGCTGACAGGAAGGGGGAGAGAAAGAGACCAGAGGGAGGTTTTTTTGGCAGGAGATCAGAGCCACACCCAGCCGCCAGACCCACAACAGCTGCCGGAGCTCCTCATTTCCCTGCCGGATTGGAAAACCCCCCCCAAAACCTCTCAGCCAGCCCCATTCTCACCCCAGCTCTGCTATTATACACTTGCACAGGCAGGCTGCTACCATCTATACCAGTGGTTCTCAACCTTTTTAATGCTGTGACCCCCAACCAGTCGTAAGTCGAGGACTACTCAACTGGTGCAGCACCGTTTGCAGAATGGGACTTTTGGCGGGCTCAGCAGGGCAGAGACAGCCTGGACAATTCCTATTGGCTTTTGAAAGCCCATAGAATTAGACTCTATTCAAGAGAGTCTATTCTATTGGCTTTCAAAAGCCAATAGAATAAAAGGGAGTAGCACAGCTAAGGAAAAGGGGGAAAAAATGGCGGATTGCGTTGTTTGGTGACCCCCCTGAAATGGTCGTTCGACCCCAAATGGGGTCCTGACCCACAGGTTGAGAACCACTGATCTATACAGTAGCAAAATTTAATGTAATGGCCTGTAAGAAGTGGTAACAGGTCGATATCAGGGGTTCTCAGAGAAACAGATAATGCAGCTCCCTCAACAGTGCAGCAAACAATCTTTTACTGTCTTCATGCTATAGATCAGCAGGGCTTCCACAAAACCTCTCAGTCAGCCCCATTCTCACCCTAGCTCCATTACGTATAATCAGTGCTTTTTTTGTAAATAATAATAATAAAAAGTGCGGGAACTCACACGCGTCATACAACCCGCCTTGCCTACCCTGCAAGGTTCCATCCAAAAAAGGTGCCGGAATTCCATTCTGGGCGTTCTATGACCAAAAAAAAAGCCCTGCATATAATAACCCATGTAGGTGACCAGAAAGATTTACTACAGACATAATTTTACTGCATAGATCCTTACAATGTTTACAGTGTAACAGTGTTTCACTGTTTCAAGTGTTTCATCCATGCCTAAAACTTGATTTAGACTTGTCCATAACTGCATGTAGGCATCATCTCATATCTACTATATGAAGGGATTGATGGGTATCGTTTGCAGATGTTGCAGACTGGCCAACATGCACACCTCTCAAATCTCAACTACTCATTGTACAGACATGTGCATCCTGTATGCTGATTGGCTGATCCAACTTTCTGTTGGTGCTTTGTTGTTTGAGTGCCCCATAGCCAGAACGTTAACATTTGCAGAAATATAAATGTAACAGCTATGCAACGATCTCCAAATGATAGATGCATATGTTCCCTGACATACAGTGATGCAAAAATGTAAAGCAACTTTAAGCTGCAAGAGTTAGTACCCTCTTTCTAAAGGGTTCTGTTAAATCTACCTCCCAAGAAAGTGGATGGAAAAAATGTTACATTAGGCCCACAAGCTGCCTCCTAAGATTGTTGTGAAGAAAAATTGAAGGTAGGACTTCTATGTTTTAAATTGCTGAGGAAAGTTGAGATATAAAGTAAATTAAATCCATCAATAACTAAGAAAGAAAAACAGTATGGTGCTTATTTTCTTTATACATGTTAGTGTAATTCTCCATTCTTTTTTGTTATTAGTTCATTGAAGTGAATGGTGCAATAAATCAGAAAACATGATAACTGGTTTGGTTTATGTATTCAGTGGCAAATATTTGAATCATATGTTGAATCATGAATGCATGTATGCATTCAATGGAAAATATTGATCCAACTAATCATTTCAAATTCTGAATCCTCTTCCTTATGGAGAGCCGATGTCATAATTTCCATTGCTGTCACTGCAGCTCCTCTCAATAGATCTTGCCTGTAGGAACAGAATTAATTATACCAATGAATCTTTTAATTACTTTCTTATTGGAATACACATCATGCTTGATTGCAGGATATCCAGAAATCATCTTAAATATCACAATATTTTAAATACCGGTATATAAGAAAAATGTTTCTATAGACATTGTTTTTTTTCTCTTTTTTTCCAGACAGGAAGTACTATCCACACAAAGAAAGGAGAAACAAAAGACAGTCCAGCAAGATAAAGACAAAGCCTTCTGCACACTCCATTGTGGTTGAAACTGTTTAGTACAGAAAGAACTCCTTAGTTGGGTTTCTAAAAATTCTCTCTAAAGAGATTCTAAAAGAGCTGGTTCCTGGAGATGAATAAAGACAAAGGAAATGAGTATGAATGGAAAGAGTTCTTCAGGCAGCCAAAGGAATCTAAACATTATCAGCCAACTCAATGAACTATGCCATGCAAAGCAATTTTATTCTCTCTTCCACTTTTAATAAAATTATTTTTATACTTCTATGATAGAAAAAAATATATTGAGGCTTTTTATGCATTTTATCACCTCCAATTGTTGGAATGATCAAAACTGTTTAATTGCAGGTCTTCTTTTGTTCTCAGTTCCTCTACCCTTCCCAAGTATTCTTTCCTCTACCATCAACAACTAAGGAACACAAAACTGATGAGATTCTTACATTGCATGAGCAAGATTATGGGTCCTGGAAAAATTGGCATTGAGATTTTCATTTAAAAGGAGAATATCAGACACTTGCTTACTCTAAAATGTTTTCTACCAGTACTTCGCAACTGCCTTCTTTGTTCAGAAATTGACAAAAAGCACTACAGTTCCACAGTTACAGAGACAATAAATACCTCAGAATGTTTTGTTGTAGACTTCAGGAGTTAGTCAATATTTCTACTATGAACTCATATAGCTGAGTGTCAGCAAGAGAGAATTATTAACCAGAAGGAAAGGGAAGGGATTTATTTATTACTACAGTTTTTTTCTCACCAAATCATTAGAAAAAACGTTAGGCCAGCCAGCATTTGTCCTCATCACTATCAACTTCAAAATGCAAAGAATATTACAAGAGGTATTGGTTAGATGCTGTTCAGCTGAACAATAAGAAACAGCATCTAACCAATTTCCCACAGTTGGCCCATAGTCTGTTTTATCTGACATCTGAAGATATGAATGCTCACAGTTGCTATTCAGTTGATTAAAACAGGAAAAATTATAGCCATGAAGCTATGGTGCCTTAACCTTTGTAGAGATAGGGGAGAGGTCAGAAGCATGAAGCAAGATGAAGTAAAATTTCCCATCTATGAGAAATCACCCTGCCCTCCTGTTCTGCAAAGCTCCAGCATATCCACTGGCTAACAGAATTTAATGTACATTGTGTTAAACTGATGCTGAATGGGAATAAATCAGCCCAGCTGCCAACTGAGACTGTATCTCACAGACGTGAAGCATATCCAAGGATACCAATATTGTGTGTATGGGGTTGTTCAAAGAAAAATCTAAAAATAAAAAAGGGGGGCTTAGTAGTCTCTAGAAGCCATGGCACATAGTGTCAACTTCAAAAGCAAATAGAAATAGAAAAGTGAGGACTGGTGGGGATGGGAAGAAATGAAGTGTGGTTTGGCCCCCATTAAATGTTTACAGCTTCATGTATCCTTAAAGATAGCCTGCTAGCTGCATAGTTGGCACTCTGAAAGTAAACAGCATTTGTCTTGCTTAATATGTGTGGTAATTAAATCATTGGACTAAGACCAGGAAGACACAAAATCTACTGGTTGACTTTAAGTCAATCAAATGTCTATGGGAGGCTCTCAGTCATCCAAATCATGGTTGTCCCAAAGGTACTTTTTCAAGAGGCAACTAGACTTTCTTTGAAAACTTTTCACTTCTCATCCAAGAAGCTTCTTCAGCTCTGACTGGATAGTAGAGAATGGAAGGAGTTATATTCCTTGCAGACAGCTGGTCATTTGTATTCTTTTAGAGAATTGTTGAGGCCACTTTTATCTGTGAACTCAGGGCCATCTGAGTAGTGCAAATGGGTGTGGAGCCTTCTTGGAACTGCTGAAAGGAATGTGTTGTAGACTGGAGATGTCGTATTCCTCCTCTTCTGTTGAGAGAGGGCTGTTCAGTTTTGACGTAGATGGCTTCTTTGACCCCTCTTTCAAACCAGCGATCTTCTCTGTCCAAAATGTGGACTTTGCTTCCTTCAAAAGAATAGCCTTTGTCTTTTAAATGCAGCTGGATTGCTAAATCTTGTCTTGATGGGTATGTTCTCCTATGTTGTGCCATGAGTTTATGAAGTGCTTGTTTTGTTTTCCCAATGTGTAGATCTGCACATGTCTCACTGCATTGTACTGCATATACCAGTTGCTCAGTTTGTGTCTGGGTGTTTTATCCTTGGGGGGGAACAAGCTTCTGCCTCAGTGTATACTTGGGTTTAAATTGTGCACATATGTTGTGTTGGCTGAAGATCCTCCTGAGCTTTTCAGATATTTCTGCAATGTATGGAATGACAATGTTGCTTTGTTTGTTGTTTTCTTCTTTATCCATTATGGAGGAGTCGTTTAAGCCAGTCACTATCTTTCAGATTTATCTAGTTCACAGCATCATTGCAAGAATAATTTGAAGGTGGAATGGAAATCATATTCATTATGCTGAACTAACAGGGAAAGCGTAGAAAAGACAAGTAAAATAAATACCCAGATGTTGTTTCCATAGAATTTATCAAATCAATACCTAGTATGGAGATCTATGAGACTAGGACAATAAAATTTATCAAAGATTTCTAATAGAATTCTTATGAAAAGCAATTTTTATTTGACTATACTGGATTTTTTATTACCCTATATTGATAAATATGTTTTAGATTCAAACTTTGGGGAAAAAATTAGGCAAAAGCTGCCACTGTTAATGGTCTGATCATATGAAGTTATTCATATTTGCACTTATTAGGTTCCCCAAACTCCAATACAGCATAAGAGAAAGAGAGTGCCATCTATTGTTCAATAGTCACTATAAAGTCTTTACCATTAACATTTATTGTTACCATAAATAGGAAGGAACATTTTTGCTTTTATTAGATAGTAACAATTATTATAATACCGCAGTCTCAGATGACAGACCATATCATTTCTTGATATAGTTCTTATGACAATTTTCTAGTAGTTCAAGAGAACTGGACTCATTTTAAATGTATTCCATATATGTATTGTAGGTAATTATTCATCCCCTTCATTGTAATCCATTGATGTGAAAAGAGATAACTTTAAAAGATAAAAACACTGGCATAATAAGACTGGCACCCACAGACTCCGCAATCAAGTGCCTAGGTAATAACAAGATTATTCAAAGCCATATAGTTACAAAAGTTTCAGAGCTTCATTGTAAAAAAAAATAAAAAAAAATTAAACCTTCTTGTTGTTGTTGTGACATATCCATTATCGGACGTTGGCGATCATGTTGGCAATCCTGTTTTTATCAGCAGCCGCATGAAAAAGTGCTGCTGAGTTTTGTCCAAGCCAGTCGCTTAGATTTTGAAGCCACGGTGTTCTTCTTCTGCCTGGACCTCGTTTGCCTTCAGTCTTTCTCTGGAGGATTAAATGGAGTATGCCGTATTTTTCTGGGTGTCGCATCACACGTCCGAAATATTCTAATTTTCATTTTTTAATTGTTTTGATGATTTCCCTTGGCTTTCCCAGGTGGCTTATCACCTCCTCAAATAAAACCTTGCAATTATTTTTTTGTTGGTACCTGATAAATATCCAATTCAGGCACTGTCAAGAGGGAGAAACAGGATATGCTCATTAACCACTCACTATCCAGCACTTTTCCATCATCTCCATTGACTGCAGAAGGATGGAGATGAAAAGGGCAAGGTCCCAAATTAGAATTACAAATGACATTAGGTTTAAGTTTCATGATTCCTGGTAATTTTTTTTATGCTGAAATCAAATCTTTAGGTTAGGGTATAAGTTTGTATTGATGTAATGATAAATATAAGATAGATTCTGAGCATTAAAATAAATTATGTTACTAGGGTAGTTCTTATCCACCAGAATGGAAGGATAATAGTAAGAGGAATAGGGAAACACTATATATTGTATATATTTCCATCTTTCTATCTCATTAGGAACATTTGAAGATTGCCTTGATTTTTAAAATTCATTTATATCCATATTAAAAAAAACTTAGCTAGTACAATAACAAATTAACAAAAACTTAACAAATGTTGCTAGTGACCTATGTAATACAAGTGTCAAGCAAATCATAATTATTCTCTTTTCAAGTCTGTCAAAGCTTATATACAACAGAGGCTCAGAATTAATTGAGAAAAGATTATAAGATCATGTAAACATTATTTTCAAATAGCAGTTAAAATGACCACATACTGTTGCACGCCACGCAGAATCATGTTTTGTGAGATAGATGGTTATGTAAATTTGATTAAGAATAAACTAATAATTAAAATTTCAAATGTGTTTTTGGGTTGATTCTAATTGGCCTTTTAATGGACTTCTTTTCCAATGTAATTCCAGTCACTGTCCAGTTGTTTTTCAGTTTATATTTTAATAGATATAGACATATTTCAATAAGCAATTTTGAGCATTTCCCCAAAGGCCATCTGGGCACCAAGTGCTCTAAGAATTTTATCTTCTCCATAGCATGCAAAGACTTCAGCCTTCAGAATTCATACTGGCAAAGCTAAACAAAATGAAGTAAGACAGAGATATTGCAGCAGAAAAAATATGTAAAGTATGTACTGATTACTGAAGTATGATGGGTATATTGTTACCTACTTTTCATTTACAATAGAGGAGCTTGGTGTGTTTTTTTTCTAAAGTTGTTCATTTTTCTCACAACCATGACTTTGTGTAGGCTGACTGTCATTCCATCTAGGAGTGTTAACAGGATACCCAAAACCAAAAATGGCATATTTATTTTTCACCACTTGCAAAATGATTCAAGTCTGCATATGTTTTGAAGCAGCATAAAGCACCTATACACTAAATCTGATGCACAACTCATCTTCTGGGTGCAAAGTTGTGTGTGTGTGTGTGTTGATGTGAATGTGTATATTTGTGTACATGTATCCACCCATGCATATCACACACAGTATTTGGATGTTATGACTGTCTCAACTACTTGTATTTGTTCTATAAGAGATTCTTGTTTTATTTATTGCAGTTCTAAATTTGCATTGGGTAAAATATCACTCCTTCTTATGCTGTCTTATCCCCTGCATATTTTTCCTTCCTATGCTCATCTAGAGGGTGTAATTAAGAATG